TCAAAATTGCAAAGGATTTAGGAATAACTTTTCAGAGCTGGAAATGGGATAAAACTTTTGAATGGAAAAAAGGAAACGACTCAATTCAGAAATACCTATCGAAAGAAGAATATAGAAAAGCTATTCTATTCTTGCGTAACAACAGACTAATATAAATCGACTAGATCATAGAGAAGAAAACCATGAGACTAAAAGAGTGAAGGATGATCCAACTTCTTCGAGGAATAAGTAAAGGTCCAACTTCAGATTGGCATGTCAGACTGTCACATCTACTGACACCAAAAACAATAGAAGAAATCATGGAGAAATGGTATGATAACAATATTCCTTGGGAACCTGACTTTCCAAAACTTAATCCAAATAGGGACAGAAGACAAAAAACCTGGTGTATTCTGAACAAAAGTCCAACAAGATTAATCTGAGGAAAAGTTTCAAGATTAGCAAAGGTAATGGTACACTTTAACTGTGAAGAACAAGCAGAAACCCAGGAAACAACTTTGTACCAGTGTAAAGGATATACAAATGGTATATTCAGTAATAGTACAATACTTATATCATAAATAAAAACAAGGATGAGCTCTATAAGATCACTTTCTTGAACAAACGCAAATCAACAAGAACTGCCAAATAACTAAAGATTCCAATAAAAAAAGAAATACTGGAGAATAAAATAGTAGACAAGATCCAGAATACGACAATATCTCAAGAAAATGAAAATCAAGTACCACAGATAATAATTGAAAGATAGGAAACAAGGATTATTGAAGAACACATTCAAGAAGGGATTTATCAAGACCATCTAAAAGAAATTTTACAATTAAACCTTGAAGAACAAGAGAATTTTCAGTTTTACTCAGACGGATCCCTTATAGACCATGGAAAAGAAACAGTCAGAATGGGAATGGTATGGATCCAAACAAAGGGAAAAGGTCAAGAAAGTAGGTTCCAGGCAGGTGTACAAGATTGGCCATCATCTGCAAGAATGGAGCTAGCAGCAATAGTTACAATCTTATTGATCATACCAGTAGAGAGCTCAGCTGAAGTCTATACAGATAGTCAAACTTGTATATCCAAATGGAACAAGTTGGAAAAAGATGATCCAAAAATGACTCATAGAAGATAGCTGAAAGAGAAAAACTGGTTCCTTTGGGCAAGAATGCTAAATATTGTCAAAACAAAAAATATAAAATTGAAGTTGATTAAAGTCAAAGCACATATCAATATCAAGGAAAATGATCTAGCAGACAAGTTAGCTGAAGAAGCACTAAATTTCTCAACAATCCAATGGAAGGACCTTAAATCCAACAAGATTATCACAGAAGTGAAATAGTAGGATATAACATTGGACAGTCTTATAAGACAATTTATAAAAAGGATAAATAATGAAATAACAATATACTGCTGGTTACAACAAAATCGAACTAGGAACAAATGAAACCTTCAAATAGAAGATCAGCAGAACTATTCATGGAACATGGTATGGGAAAGGCTAAAAAAGGAACATACATGGGACACCTCCTTTAAAAGCTCACAACGGAAAAGTTTTCTGGTAAAATTAATCAATAATGAACTACTGACAATGGCAAAATTAGTAATTAGGAGACTAGACCTATATTATAAAAATGACTGTTTGGCATGTGGCGAATAGGAGGAAACAATAGAACATCTTTTGGAATATTCAAGATACAAAAATGCAATGAAAGAAGCCTGGTCAAGAGGAGTAAAGATAATGTGTCAAGAATTCAAGAAAGAAAGACAGAAGCAAAAAAATCAAGCTCAAAAAGATGATAGCAATACTCCAATAGTAGATAGAAAAGAAATGAGAGAAATAGAAGCCTGGGCAACAAAGCTTATTGAAAAAGTATCTATAGACAGTCAAAACTCAATCAGTTTTCTTTCAGGATTGATCAAAAGGGATTTATTAAGAGAAGTAGGGGAACTCGAATATGGAGGAAAAAAGATAGAAATGGTGACCAAAAAATGGATACTCCGCTGCCAAAAGAAGACATTGAATTACTTCAGGAAAGAAGTGTGGAACAAATGATGTGAACAAGTAATGGAATGGGAAAAAGCTTGAGGAATTTTCCGAAAAGACAAAATAAGATGACTTATAAAGTCTTATTCAATAAGAAAAACAAGAAAGCTAAGAGAAGAAAGAAAGAAAACAGAAGAAGAATGTCCAGGAAAAGGTCTAACAAGAATAATAATGATGGGGGTCAAAAGTGGTATAAAATGGTTGGGTTTTAGGTTTGGTCAGAACTTTGGCCTGTGATCTGCAATAGTGACTACAGGCAATGATGTTTATAGTAGAAGGGTTTTTACCCAAACTATAAATGGAGCAACAAATCACTCCCAAAGTTGACTTAGAGTTTGATAATAAACTAAGATGAGTGAGTTAGTTAGCGTTTTAGCTTTAGCGACACTGTAAATAGTATAGCCTACATTATATTTAATAAAGCACACATAACTAACCTGACAGTGGGTTAATATTAAAAAAAAAAAAAAAATTTTATATTAACAAAATTATTTTAATATATAGTAGTATTCAAAATTAATTGAAATTTTTGATCGCCTATTGTATGACAACTAGTAACTCAAATTATAAATAATAAAGTTTATTAAAAAGCACAAAACTGTGAAAATATACTTTACTATATCACTAATAATTAATTATATATTAATTATTTGCTCATATTTCATTGGCATTAATACAATCAAATTTTTTAATATCTCTTATAGGGTTTGATTCCATTCCTCAATCATAAATATTTTTTATTCCTATAAATTTTTAAGTTTTTTTTTCACTATATTTCTTTTAACAATTATTCATAAATTTTTGATAATGTTAAAATCAAAACTATTGAATGGTTATTCAAGTATTATGGGAACTCTTATCTCAAGAAATTTTTTAACCAAATGACTGGTATATTTCAGATCATTATTTTGTTAAAAGTGCCAATTGCTCTTCATCATTGTTTTAATTTTTGAAAATTGTTTTTTTAGGATTTTAATATAAAATTGAGTATTAATGATCTCTGAAAAACAAAAAATATTGCACTTGCCATGTTGAGAAAATATGTTTTATACAAAAAAAAAATTTTTATTTTTAGGAATATATTGGACAGATCTGTAATGCTTATATTATTGAATAATTGTATTTTTAAATAGTTGAAAAGAAGTTTTATCAGAAAATATGATTCGTGATTAATCATTATGGAGATATTCATGAGTTCATTCAATCTGTTTTTCTTTATATATAGTCATGAGCATGGGAGTAGTAATAGGAAAGGAATTTTTATAATCAATGGTACAAAGATATCTTCATATAATCTCTCTTTCTACCTTTATATCTTTTTTTTTCAAGTTTTTTTACTAACTTAACTATTAATATTGTAGAAATTTACCTGATAAACTGATTAATTATATAAATTTCACTTGAGATGATTTTTTTTTATTGACCTTGATCCTTTGTTTGAACAACACCACCTATTTTTTTTCAATTTTTTTAGATTATAGTATATAGTAGAGAGGCTAATACTCATGCAATGCTTGATTTCCTGTGTAGAATAAATACCTTTACTTCACAAATGACACAAGGGACAAAAAAAAAATCACATGACAATTGCAACCTTACCTTTTATAGATGATCCATTACATCAAATTTTCATCACATGAAAATTTTGTAATACAATATATTGTATATTTACTTATATTATCTAATAATTTGATGAGAGAAACGTTGTTACAATTTATCAAACTCTTTTCTTTGAACCTCATGCTCTTAAAGTCAAATAGGTTAATAGGTATTACTGTTTGTGCAAATGCTTCTTTTTTTTTTCATTATACCCAGACGCATATTAAAATGAAAAAGTTCTTACAAAGCTTAAAAAATGCGCTTGTGAATTTAAACTCATTGGAAACAAAATTTGCCGATTAAATAAATTTATTAGTTAGACGATTTATAAAATGATGTATTATTAATATTATAAACTCACAATTATTTGGTAAGCAAACTTTACCCAACCGTGCTAAAATAAATATGGTTAGCATAACGTAGGAAAATAAATGTTTACATTCATTGGTTGGGTTATTTTATTATTATTATTTTTTTTTTTGTAGACGATTTAATCAAGATTGTATTTTACACATTTTTTATGAAAGGATATTTCCAAACAAAACATCTTCGGCCAAGTTAAATCCAATGGATTTATCGGAGAATCAATGATAATGCCTAAAGATGATGAATTGAGAGTAACCTAACTATGAAAATTTATGGATCATTGTAACAATGCTAATATAATAATAAACATCCCGAAAATAAGATATATAAACAGTTGCAAGGTTTTGGGGTGTAGATGGATTTTGTATAAGATGTAATGTAATATAAATGGTTTCATAAAAGTCGTCATCTGTCATTTGCCCTTTAGCAATGATGTTTTCATAAATTTACAAATTTAAATGGTGTATCCTAAATATACTGTATATAAACAATAATGGGTGACAAATCTAATAATTCTCGGTTAACTTAATGTTATAAATTAGAGAAAAAAAGAGAACCAATAGAGTACAATTATTTATTCCTGTTTAATTAGAGGGAAAAATCAGCATTATTCATAAATCACGAGGTTGAACTTGTGAAATACGTGAGACTTACGTAAATCAAGCTTGCTCGATATTTTTCTTCCCAGTATTCGGCTTGTTCTAAATTTACCTCGGTCCCAATACCCTTTCTGTAACATTCCGCAACATCATGCGCACCAGAGTCACAACCTTTCTCAGCGGACTTTAGATACATCTCGAAGGCCTTCCTTGAGTCTCGCTTCGTCCCTTTGCCGTATTGATAACAGTAACCAAGCCTATTCATGGCATAGTTATTCCCTGCTTCAATCGCCTTCTTATAGAATGTCACACCTTTCAGCTCATCTTTGAACACCCCATAACCATTCAAATAACAGTATCCTAATGCACACAATCCATTCGAACATCCACCGTTGGCCGCTTTCTCAAACCAACGAAAAGCCAACTCATAGTCTTGTTTCGCTCCGCTGCCTTCCAAGTAGCTTGCACCCACAAAATATTGTGCCAGATTATCATTCTTCTTTGCAGCATTTAAAAAGAACGTGTAAGCCTTCCTTTTATCCACCTCCACACCAATCTCATGACCATAGAAATAACCGAGGAGACTTTGATATTGAAACGTATCCTTGTTCTTCGATAGCCACCGAAATACCTGAACGGGTTCAAAATGAGATTTGTGGATGTGATTGATGATGTTTCTCTCCACCTCGCTATCCTCTTGGCCGCTTTGATTGCCTTCGTAGAATATGTTGGATAGTTGATCGGCAAGTCTCTTGAGGACTTTGTTCTCATTCAGTGAAACAATGGAGGAAGAGGGACTAGGACTCCGAGAAGTTCTACTGGTCGAAGAGGATGGAACATCAAGGGAAGGAGTTAAACCTTCGGTGATAATTGAATTTTCCGAGCTCATCTTTTAGATAATCTTTTGATGGCGAGAAGAAAAAAAAAAAAAGAAAAAAAGCACGTTTCTATTTTCTTGCTTTCAATCTAGTGTAGAAAGGACTCTTTGAAGAAGTAATGGGGTTTGTTGGGTAGCGCAGTCTTAGAACCTTTGCATGTGGATTATGAATTTTTTAATGAACCAAGAATCTCGAGTTTTTATTCGTTCCCCGAAAAAAAATGCAAAAAACCATGCACAGATAATGGATGTGTGGTATATATATATTGACGTTTAATATACACAATATATTGCTTAATACGTATCGGTTAGCAATGGACGATTTTGTGCAATAATCGCCACTCGAATGTGGATGAGTAAATTCAGGAAATCAGGATTTTAAAAAACCTGATGATGCCTCTTAATATTGTTCGATTTTAGAAATATTGTAAGTTAAATAATGACAAATAGAATGACGAGAAAAAGCAACATACATGCCAATAAGTAATAGAAAGCCAAAAATGAGGAAGAGGGTAAAGCGAAAATAGAAATGCGAGGTTACCTCTTCTGCGTATACTCTATAACGCTTTAAGTGGACACCATATTGCTTTTTACGTCCTCATTAGTTGCATTTTTATTGGTTTTCAATTTTATGATTCATTTTGAATGACGCTAGTGTGTACGTATATTGTCTTTTCACTTTTTAACGGTACACCAAAATGTATGATATAATATGGCTGCATATCATTCACTGGTGCGAATTTCTATTGTCAATAATTGTGATGTAACCCGTGAGCTTACCGCGCGACTTCATGGGTAAAATATCATGTGATACGTATATTTGACCCTCCGGCACAAATGATTACGTTGATTACGTGATCAATTCCAACTTTGGTTCTTGGAATCAAATTTCATGCAGTTACCGAACTTCCAAAATATTTACAACCAATACAATTGAAAAGAGACTTCCGTTGGCATAATAAATGTGAATGTTATAATAATTTGGCACGCAAAAAAAAAAATTTTTTTCCTGATTGATGATAGCTTAGTATAAATTACACTGATAAAGATGAATGAAATTTAATGAATAAATAAATTTTGAATGTGATATAGTATAAAGAACATGCAAACTAGTGATCGCAAAAAAAAACCCCCCAAATAAATTTTTTCTAATGGTTGATTCCCAGATCCCACCCCTCCTCACTCTTCATGATTTATTCCCCCTTTGGACAGATTTGAAACACCTCATAATCATCGATCGAAAATGGATCGCTACTCTTCCTAATCGGCTTCTCATAGTTGACCTGCTTACAACCTATTCCCTTACCATTCCTGTAATTACTAACCATCTTCAAATCATGATTTCCAAAATTCGGACCCCACCTGGCATTATAATAAAATGCGTATCCCGGATTTGAAACTCTACTCAGTATACAGTTCTCTTCGCTCAATGAGAAAATAAAACTATCCTTTGTACTTGACCAATTATCCTGTTTTGACTTTATGCCCTTCACGTTATTCTTGCTTTCTTGAACGTGATTGTTCCATTTTAATGGATTATATCCGCCCAATATTTCATTCGTGCCACTGACCTTCATTATGACCACCGTTCGTGAACGCGAATCACATATATCATGGAATGTTTTATTCTTAAATCCGTGTTCACTTCCACGCAAGAGCAACTTAAATTCATAGGGACTGTTCGCCACGGTGTAGGTAGAGAGCCGACGATCAATCCACGTGGCAATTTGTGCAGCGTGTTCGTTGGTGATTATTACGGAGAATGAAGGCAACGGAGGCGAAATCGGTGGCGAATCTGAGTACAGTGGTATGACCGAAGATGAAGTTACACGCAATAAGTGGGTTGAACTTTGCGGAGGAGAACCGAACGGCGATTTTAACAAATCGCTCTCCGGAAACTTTTGTACAAGTTCCGCCCATACTGACGAATCGATGATCCGTTGGAATGGTCGCACCTTGTTGAAGACATCTTCGTCGGTGAGTCGAGAATACCGAATCAGCGGTAAACAATGTCTCAGCGTGGTCTTCAATCTATAGAAATCCACCTCCGTCCATTGTTCGGGATTTGGTGTAAGCGTGGTGGAATTCTGCACAATCCCCCACTTTATAATATAATCCCAAATTTTTGATTCCTCAATTTGCACATCATCTCTTCCCAGCAGGGAGATGAGCACAGGTTCCTGTAGAGATGTGAAATCCTTCGAGTTGAACACTAGGTCGGGGTATTTTGTGACTATTCCTTTACAAAAGGTTTGTATACGAAGCAAATTTTCGGATTGGTAGCCTGTATTGTGGATTAGAGCGAAGTTCAGGCATAGCCAATCTGCACGGGTGTCCACCAGGTAGGATTCAAGATAATTTACTAACTCTTCTAGGCAGAGTTCGTTAGCGGTTATCATTAATTCAAAAATCCTCGAGGTTTCAAGGTCCTCTAGTGCGATCACACCTCCATACAAATACCTAAAAAAAAAAAAAAAAACAAACCAAAATCATTAACCTTCATGATTTAATATTAAAAAGATAAAAGAAAGCGAAATATTCACCTCACAATGATCCCAAACACCTCGGGCTTGAAATGCTTCTTCCTAATCTCCATCACATTCTGAATATTCCTTGGGCCCGTTAGATCCGTCAACTCTTTATTAAAATACTCGGATCTAAATCTCAAGATGGCAGAGTGTAATTTAAATGACTTTTGAATCTTTTTTTCATCTTTGTCATCACAAACGTGGTCCATTTTACTCTTGCATTCTTCCCCATTGTCATCGCCCACATGTATGATCACATCATACCCATCACCGAGTTCAAGAAGTTTTGTAAAATCTTGCGATAGTTTGTCATAAAATTTTGTTGGCATCCTTGTGTGTTAAAGGAGAAAGGAAATTGTTTTTGCGTGGTAATTTTTTTTTTTTTCAAGAAAAAAAAAAGAGGTTAAATGAGAATAAAAGGGATTTTTCACAAAAATGTGTAGTACAGTATCAAGAAAGAGATTTGCTAATCAATATTATATATCTTTTACAAATACGTAGTACGCACCCTGAACTCCCGCCTAATCTTTCCGCAAATCACTTTAGCATGTTTGGAATTTTGTGTCATGATCAAGTTATTATTGACCAGCCCAAAATAACAAACAACTTGACCTTTTATCAATTACGTATTGTATTTTAATTTAAAACTCATATTTTGGGCATTTTATAATTACTTACCCATAAAGAGTTTAGCGAGAATGCGATGAAGAGACTTGTGAATGTCATAAGGTATTACATAAATGAAAGAATTTTCGTGATCTAAACAAGGTATAGCATCAGGCTGATTTGCAAGGCTTAGACTTTACCACGGGTCACAATAAAGGGAAAACCACACAGACCACGGTCCAATACATGTACACACGTCTTCGGATCAAAAAGGAAAGGTAAAAATGTTCTTTAGACATAACCGCTCGATCTTTCCTTTCCATTGTTAACAATCGCCTCTATGCGTGGTGATTTTTCCAAGGGGTTTACTGTAAAAGAAGACGATGATGAATGTTTGCATGTGTGTGCATATCTTCATGCGCCAGTGTTTCATCTTGTCTCTCCGCGTTACAATACTTTTGTGTCAAGTAACATTTTCTGGATGTACAAACTTTTTCTATACATGTACACGTTTAAGAATTTTGAAAAGGTGCATTTAAACAAGTATTGTACATAACTTTAGTACTTACTGTATATGCAGCAGTGCTTGTTCCAAAACAAGGTCTACAACGGTATTATTACTGTGTGTCCCAAAGAATTATTATTTTTCTTTTAAATACTGTGTACGGTATAACCGAATTTTTGTAAGTCTTTAACAATCCATCTTTAAATCGTATCAAATAAAATTCAAATTATGTTTTTGTTACAAAGCAGACCTTTTATATTAACATACAGTATGAATAAAGTTATGCTGATGATTTTTATATCCAGATAATGGAATGATCGATTTCTAATGAACATGTTAAACGAGAGTCGTATAAAGGATAATTGTTTTCCTTTTTTTTTATTTAATTTTTCTAAAACAGAATTATTTTTTTTGAGTGCAATATTATTAAAGAAATAAAGATTTATTTATCTAAAGAAAGTGAGATTAACCTAAAAGAATTAAATAGAAGAAGAATGAATGTATGTAATTATGATTGATATTTTGAAAAGTATTTTTTTGGCAAAAGTATTTTATATCAATAAATAATTACTTATAGTCAAAGAATTTGTCAAGATATCTAAATAAATATTTGAAATCAATTCAAGCATTTAACCAACTTGTAAATAATATTATGGTGATTTATATTGTTATAATTTAATATTATTAAAAGATCTGTCAAATAAAAAATATAGATTGAAAGATTATTTAAAATATTAAAGAATAAAGAATAAATAGTAAAAGCTAAGAAAAAAAGATTGTCAAATATAAGAAATCTTTAATATACAGTATTTAAAAAATAAAGAGAATCAGATCAATAAAAGTATATATATATACTATAAATAAAATTCAAAACAATTATAATTTTTTTTTAAAAAAAAATATAAACCCCAATAAAAAATTTTTTAATAAATAAAAATAATAATAGTGATTTTATAATTTTTATAATAGAATTTATTAAAAATTGATAATTAATTAAATAGTCATTGAATTTAAATAATTTTAAAATTAATTACAATATATAAGAAAAATTTTTTATAATTTATTATTATAATATTAATATTTATATTAAATTTATAATTTTTTTTTACTAAATTATTATTATAGTTGATGATTACAGCAGATTAAATCAGATCAAATTTAATTAGATTCAATTTGATCTGATTTTTATAAATACAAATCAGATATGAATCTGATTTATTTTAAACTAATCTGATCTAATTTGAAACT